TGGTGACACACAGATTAATAGAAATGGGTTAATTCAAGATGTAAGTTAGCTAGAAATATGCCTAAGCTGTTGGCCAAGCAGTGTTGTAATTAATATAGTTTCTGTGTCATTTGGGTCTGGGTGACTGGTAAATGAACAACCAGTCTCTGCCCACAGAACTGGAGTTACAGGTAGTTGGAACCATCAGATGTGGGTGCTGGAACCCAAGCATTGGTCTTCTGTCTGCAAGAGCAACAAGTGCTCTTAATTGCTGAACCATTGGTTGGCTTTAATTTTTTAAATTACATTTTTATTTGTGCATGTGTGTGTACATGTAAAGGTCAGAGGGCAACTAGTGGAAGTCAGCTGTCTCCTTTCACCATGTGGGTCCTGATGATGTAACATTAGGCTTGGCAGCAAGCACCTTTACTATATAAGATATCTCATAGGCCCTGCCCCACTCACCTTAAAAAAGCAGCAACACAAGTTGAGCAGCAGTGGTACACACCTAACCCTAACCTTAATCCCAGCACTCGGGAAGTAGAGGCAAGTGTATCTCTAAGTTTAAGGTCAGCCTGTTCTATAGAGTGAGCTCAAGGACAGCCAGGGCTACACCTATCTATAGCTTGTCTACACGGAGACCCTGTCTTGAGGAAAAAAAATAAAAAAATAAAAAAAGGAGCCATTTAGCCATTTATGATGCAATTGGGCCCTCAGCAGACAATAGCGCTGTCCTACATGCACCTCAGACTTCACCCTCCAGAATGTGAACATTTGTTATTTATGAGTCTTGCAGTCTGTGGTGCTTTGTCACAGCAGACTGGATGAAACATTCTCTCCTGACCCCTCATGCCTTGGACTTTAATCAGGAATGCATGGAGGGGGTGATGGTCTAGGGCTTATAGCCTGACTAGTCAGACTTAGAAAATGATCCGGACCTTTGACTTTAGAACCTTTGAGTTTGGTAAGACAGGCTGTAAGCTGTGTGTGTGTCATCTGCCTTTGTGTATACCTGCATGTCCCTCCCATGTCTTCATGCTTGCGCGACTCTGTGTAAGTTTTAGTCTGTGGTTCTGACATGCTGGTGGTTCTCAATAAGAATGTAGGCCTGTCTGTGGGTTACTATGTGTAGCCGTCTCTGTGGGTCTCTGCATAGTACAGCGCGTTCATTCGGCTTCCATCACTGTGTTTAGTGTAGTAATGACTCGGGCTTTAAAGGAGAAACCAGGAATTCAAGCAAGTTGCTGAGCATGTTCAGTCTCTTTCCAAAGCACTGTGGGATTTAGCCCTCCTACAGGACATACTGCACCTACTATATGATGTATAGTTCCAGAGTCCCAGTTTGTCAGAGATGAGAAGGTCCTCAGAGACAATCCCATCCAAGGTTTATTTTATTTTTTAATTTTTTTCATCTTCCTATCAACACTAGAACACAGAGTTCTGTCTCTCCAATTCTTATCCTGGTAATATTTTCAGATTTACACAATGCATTGGTCTAGAACAAGAGTTGGATAACTATGGACCTCCATTTGTGTTTATAAATAAAGCTTTATTTGAACATAGCCAGCTATGCTTATTTACATATCAGTTATGGATGCTGAATTCCTATAGTCATAAAGCCTAAATCACTATTGCTTGCTTCTTTTCAGAAAGAAAAAAACGGTTTGCCTTCTGAGGGTCTAGGATCTAACGGATCTGGGATTTAGATCTGAACCTTTGTGACTTTGGAAATATAATAAGTTTTGATTGTGAGTACTTTGGGTCTTTTGTTCATCACTTTAGAAATGAGAAAAATGACTGTCTCATGTTCCTTCCACCTTTCCTCTGGATGTTCACAAGCCTCTGATTCCACTGTGGTTCTGCTTCTTCCTTGGGAATCACTGGTGTATTTGGTCCATGAGAAGGAGGGAGCAGAAGTGGGGAACAAGGCTCAAACAGCTGTGGGTATGACGGAGAAAGCCCTCGAGGGGATGACTTTGGTAAATCTGTTCAACTTTATTCCAGATTATACGGAATATATAGGATTGGAAAGCCTGGTGACAAACCTTAATTTACTTTAAGTGGCACGCTCCTGTCATAAGCCTTCGTATGTGACATCAGGGTCCCATAGCAAAGCTCCTAGCACAAGCCTTAGTTACCATATGTGCAGCAGAGGAGGCCTCTAACAGGAAATTGTGGCAAGGGTCACCCTAGAGATAAATCAGGCTTCCAGGTTTAGAGACTGCTCTCAGATAAGGTCAGTCCTCCGGGCTCAGGGACAGTCTCCAGATAAGGGCGGGTACAGAGCAGGAAGTTCTGCTGGGGGAGGAGGGAGTCCCCATGTCCTCGAGCTTTGGAAAGAGCTGCCAGGCCATGATAGACTGCAACCTCTGACCAGTCATCAAAACCTCCCACCATCCCACATTGATATTTCTGGAAAGGTAGATGCAAAGACAGGATGTCTGTTATTATTCTTGATGGTGTGGACTTTTCCTGGTCACAGATAGGATTTGGAGAGTGTCTTTATGAATTCACTACTGTAATTACATAACAACAGATTTTCCTCATAACTATTGTAGATTGTAGGATTCTAGATTAAAAAGAAGGCAATAAATGCTTGTTTGATGCTTTATTCAAACATTATTGTTGTGTGTATGCATGTGTATCTTTGTGTGGGTATGCACACCTAAGCTCATCTGCCCAAAGAGGCTGGAAGAGGCCATCGTATCCTTTGGAGCTGTACCCAGTCAATGAGGTGGTGGGAACCAAATCCAGGTCCTCTGCAAGAAGGATGTGCACTCTTAGCTGATGAGCTATTGCTCTAGCCTCTCTCCATTTGTAATACAATGCTATGTGTCCCAGCTGGCTTAGAACTCACTATGAAGCCAAAGATGGCCTTAAACTTCCGGATCCTCCTTCCTCCACCTCCTGAGTGCTGGGATAACAGGCCTGTTTATTTACTGGAAATGGAACCCAAAACTCTGGGTACTAACTGAGAGCAAATGTTCGATTTTTTAAAACTCCCATATTCAACACTTCTGTGAGTTAGTTTTCTAGCCTCTTCTGAAGGGTGTCTATGATTTTTTCCCTAACAGATCCACTAAATAAGATCCCCCCAACCCCTCCCTTTTCTCCTTGGCTAAAAGTCTGTGAGTCTGTAAGCCTGGAATTGTCATTATCAGTCATAGACTCATAGGAACAGCTGGTCTGAATAATAATAACACAGAAATAGAAATGGAGATGAGAGGCAAAGGAAGGGAAGCTGAAGTGGTTTTCATTATGTGGATGCAGGCATCTGAGGATGTCTCTACAGCTCTGCGTTTTCTTCAGCTTGCTTACATAACCAACCGAGCTTCCTTCCTTCCTTCCTTCCTTCCTTCCTTCCTTCCTTCCTTCCTTCCTTCCAAGGTTTTCTTACTTGGATTTTTCCTTTTGTCATTTCTGTCTAAACTAATTGTCAAAGGTACTATACATAAAATATAAATTAACAACTAGAAACATTAGCCCCTCCTCTACTCAGACCCAAATTTGAACCTACAGCTCAGGTTAAAGCAATTTCAAGGCAGGTGTGGTGGCACACGACTTTAATCCCAGCACGCAGGAGGTAGGGCAGGGAGATCTCTGAGCCTGAGGCCAGCCTGGCCTACAGAGAGAGTTCTAGAATTGTCAGGGATACATGGAGTAGTCCTTGGTCTTGAAAACAACAACAAAAACCAATTTCAAATGGGTCTAAGAGATAGCTCAGTGGGTAAAGATGCTTGCTAACAAGCCTGACTATTATGTTTGATCCCTGGGATCCACATTGTGGAAGAATAGGACGAACTTCCACAGGTTATCCTCTAATGCCCACATGTGTGTACTCTCACACATGAGCTCCCAAGGTCCAAATGAGGAGCAGAAGGAGGGAGAACATGAGCAAGGAAGTCAGGACCACGAGGGGTGCACCCACCCACTGAGACAGTGGGGCTGATCTAATGAAAGCTCACCAAGGCCAGCTGGACTGGGACTGAAAAACATGGGATCAAACTGGACTCTCTGAACGTGCCGGTCAGTGAGGGCTGACTGAGAAGCCAAGGACAATGGCACTGGGTTTTGATCCTAGTGCATGTACTGGCTTTGTGGGAGCCTAGTCTGTTTGGATGCTCGCCTTCCTAGACCTGGATGGAGTGGGGAGGACCTTGGACTTCCCTCAGGGCAGGGAACCCTGACTTCTCTTTAAACTAGAGAGGGAGAGGGAGGGTAGTGGGGGGAGGGGGAGGGAAATGGGAGGCGGGGAGGAGGCGGAAATTTTTAATAAAAAAATAAATAAATAAACCCAAAATAATAGTAATTTAAAAAACATCTTAAAAGCTTTCAAATGCACCAAGTATTGCAAGGGCAAAAAAAAAAAAAACCCAACATGATATTGTATGTATGTATTTATGTATGTTTAGTAGCATAAGTATTACCATATATTGACTATCAATGGATGTCTATTTAATAAAAGTATGGGAAAAAGCACACAGGAATGAAGCTAGGCATGGGGGCACAGCCTCTAATACTGGCACTTGGGAGATGGAGGTAGGAAGATCAGGAGTTTCAGGTTATCCTCAGGTTAGTTTGAGGCTAGCCTGGACTACCTAAGACCCTGTCTCAAACAAACAAAAAAGTGTTACGTAGTGTTTGCCTCTGGTGACAGTGAGATGGGGAAAAACAAACTAAGGGTAGATATGGGTGGGGAATATATCTCAGTCAGAAGGTACTTGCCTAATGTTGGTCACGTCCTGTGTTTAAGACTTAATACCCCCAAAAAACTTAAAACAAAAATAAAGGTAGAAGAGGAAGAGGAAGAGGAAGAAGAAGAAGAAGAAGAAGAAGAAGAAGAAGAAGAAGAAGAAGAAGAAGAAGAAGAAGAAGAAGAAGGCGGCAAAATGTTGCTGTCTAGACAATATCAGACAATGTGTTTTCATTCTTATTTTTTATTTTTCATTGATTGAATTATTTTGAAATACAAAATTTTAAAAAGGGCCAAGCATGATGGCACACACATTTAATCACAGTACTTGGCCGGCAAAGACAGGTGGATCTTTGTGAGTTCAAGGCCAGTCTAATCCACATAGCAAATTCCAGGCCAGCCAGGGATACACAGTGAGAACCTGTTTTAACAAACAAACAACAACAACAATAAAAAACCCCAAACACCAAAAAAAAATCATAAAAAGAGAAAATTATTCAAAATCTGCTCATGAGCTAAGGATATTTATATAGAGGATCCAAATGTTCACGCTTCCATTTCTTCCTATATTACAACAATGCCTTGCAAAGTCGAGTGACAGAACATTGGAAGAAAAGCATGTGTGTGCGTGTGTGTCTGTGTCTGTGTGTGTCTCTGAGTGTCTGTGTGTCACTGGCATGTGTCTGTGTGTACGTTTGTGTGTGTACATATGTGTGTCTGTCTCTGTGCGTGTCTGTGTGTGCATCCCTGTGCGTTTCTCTATGTGTGTCTGTTGAGATCTGCTCGCTGTATGCAGCTCAGGTTGACCTCAAATTCACAGTCTTCGGCTTCAGCCTCCTGATTGTTGGATTCCAGGTGTCACTCAACGCAGCTGGCTTCATGCTCATATTTACACACGTGATCATTCTCAGTGTCACTGAAACAAAGAATTCCATGCTAGAGAAACCTTACAATGATGCATTTAAATAATCAGACTGGGGTCTCTAACTAACAACATACACCCAATAAACTCAGGGGTAGCTTATCCATCGAAGGCCACACTCCTCCCTCTACCTGTGGGGCTAGAAAGGCTCCAAATACTCAGGTTGCAGTTGAAATCAGGGTACATTTTGTTTGCTTGTTTCTGGAGATAGGGTTCCTTTGTGTAGACCAGACTGTCCTTGAACTTAGAGATCCACCTACCTCGCCTCTGCCTCTCTAGTGCTGGGACTAAAGGCAATATAATTTCGTTGTGTGTGTGTGTGTGTGTGTGTGTGTGTTCCTGAGTATGTATATGCAGGAGTCCATGGAAGCCAGAAGAAAGCATCGGAGCCTCTGGAATTGAAGTTACAGCTGGCAGCCATCATGTGGGTGTTGGGGATGGAACCCAGGTCCTCTGTAAGAGCAGTAGCTGCTCTTAAAAACAAAGACATATCTCCAGCCCCCAGGGTGCGTTTTTTATGAATCTCTTTCTTGGTATCAGGCCAGGCTGGGAGGAATGAACCCATGGAAGAAACTGAAACTTAGGGCTGAACTGTTAATATGGGGGTGTGGGGGACTTTCCTGTAGGCGAATTCCCAGGAGAGCTGTAGCTGGATCATTTGCTTGTTCTGTTATTAGTATTTTTGAGGACCCTCCACACTGTACTAATTCCTGCTGCAGTTCCACTACTGGATGCACTAGTTCACACCCCCACCAACAGTATATACAAGGGCGCATCCCTCTGTTTGTTTAAAAAGAAAAACTCATGATTTTTCTGGTATCTTATCACTTACCTATTGCCTCCTCCTGCCTTGGAAAATTAGAATGGCTGGTTTGGAGAGAGTGGGATGGGGGAGGGGGAGACGGGGGAGAGGGTATGAATGGAAAGTGGACGTATAGGATATGAAGACTTGAGGGAGAGGGAGGTGAGGCAGAAATAGGCTGGGGGTGGGTAGCAATTGGCGATATTTAAATGGGGTCTTAGAAGAGTGGAGTGGGAAGGAAGTGGGGCATGAAGCTTGCCGAAGACTGTGCATTCATTTACCTCTCGGGAGGCTCTTTGTGTGACGAACCTATAAAACATACCAGGAAGAAGAATTTACACATATATCTATGTACACACATCTGCGTGTGTGTGTGTGTGTGTGTGTGTGTGTGTGTGTGTATGACAGGGTGTCGCTATGTAGCTCTAGTTGACCTGGAAATGATTGTGTAGACCAGGATGGCCTTGAGCTCACAGAGAGTAACCTGCCTCTGCCTCCCGAGTGCTGGGATTAAAGGCATGTGCCACCTCGCCCACATCTTATCAGAATCATTCTCTTGCCTCTCTCTCTCTCTCCCCCATGCATGGATATATAACTCTTCTTAACTCACCTTTCTGAGTGCATCTGTAGATAAAGTAGATGGAGACAAAGAGGAGAGAGATGCAGAGGCAGCTGAAGGTGGTCAGGATGATGCGTTTGCTGTTTGATGGTCGGGGGGAATTTCCTCCACCTCCTCCCACTCCATCTGTACATCGGAGATGGAAATGGCAGCTGTGTCATGAGATATCCCTGAGAGCACTTGTCAGAACAGCTGTAGAGGGCTGGACAGAGCCTCACACATGGGAAGAATTCCATGTGAGCATCTCACCCACAGCCATAAATTTGATCATTTACCAAGTCGGAGTAGCAGAATCAGTTTGCTTCCCCAAACAGTTTAGCAGAGCGGTTAAGAGGCTCCAGACACAGTGTGTGGTGGCACACTCTGAGAACCGCAGGACTCCAGCCAGAGGTGGGAGGATCTTGAGTTAGAGCCCAGCCTTGGTGATACAGTAAGTTTCAGGCTAGCCTCAAGTGCGTGTGAAATCCTGCCTGAAACTAAAAACGAAATAAGAGCCAGAAGCCAGAAAACCCAGTAATCAAACTAGCGGTACTGTCTTGGGTGGCTGTGGCACCCTTTGAATAAGGGGTCTAGCCTTGCTCAAGCAGGGCCGTGGGGTGAGGGGAGTTCTGGTCCTTCGACATATGAATAGTCAAGGCTCCTTGCTGGATATTTTGGTGTCCATTCTTTTAAATTTAAAGACATATTTATTTAATGTATAAGTGTTCTATTGCATGTACACCCAGTAGAGGGCATCAGATAGCACTATAGATGGGATTGAACCACCATGTGGGTTCTGGGAATTGAACTTAGGACTTCTGAGTCCTAAGTGCTCTGAACCACTGAGCCATCTTTCCAGCTCTCATCCACTTTTTTTTTTTGATACAGGGTCTCACTGTGTACCCCTTGCTGGGCTGGAACTCACAGAGATGCGCCTGCCTTCTGCGTGATGACTAAAAGCAGGCACCACCACAATATTATACATGTTGGTAATTTATTCTCTCTCTCTCCCTCTTCCTCTATCACCTCCCTCTCACTATTTATTACTTAATAAACTCATTCATTCAAAACAGAAAATACAGCTATCATAGATCATTCTCCAGAATGTACTTAATGAAAAGATGGGAAAATTTCATCTATCAATTTGTGGGACTCTGATGTGTGGGTGTAGAGGAATGTATTCAATTTGTAATAATCATTGCGCAATGTGCTCCTTGAGTACAATCTTTGTCAATTAAGAGTTTTGTTTTTTTTTTAAAGAGAAAACATTTCACTATCTAAAACACAGTGTCTTAGTTTAAGGGTTTTGTTTTTGTTTTTGTTTTTGTTTTTTGTTTTTTGTATGTTTTTTGAGACAGGGTTTCTCTGTGTAGCCTTGTTTGTCCTGGAACTCACTTTGTAGACCAGGCTGGCCTCAAACTCAGAGATCCACCTGCCTCTGCCTCTGCCTCTGAGTGTTGGGATTAAGGCTTGCACTACCACTGCCCAGCTTTAGTTTAGGGTTTTTATTGCTGTGAAGAGACACCACGACCATGGCAATTCTCGTAAGGGAAAACATTTAATTGAGGGGGCTTGCTTACAGTTTCAGAGGTTTAGTCCTTTATCATCATGAAGGGGAGCATGGTGGCAGGCAAGCTGGAGCTGAGAATGTTACATCTTGCAGACAGCAGGAAGCTGACTGTCCCACTGAGGGAAGCTTGAGCAAAAGAGACCTCAAAGCCAGAGTTCACAGGGACAAACTTCCTCAAACAAGGCCGCACTTGCTACCAGTGCCACTCCTGTTGGAAGCCATTTTCCTTCAAAGCACTACATACAGTAAGTAACATCATTTTACATTCTTCTAACCCACTTTCCAAAATCCTGAAACCCTTACAACATATAAATAAATGACTTTGTTCTCCCACTGAAGTGCTGCCAGTGGAGTCTTGTTCTGTTTAACAAAACCCATGGTCAGTTTAAACACCTGTGATGGTTAGTTCTAATCGATGCTTTGACACGATCTAGAATGGCCTGTGAAGAGAGTATTGTGGTGCTGTCTAGATCATGTTGGCCTGTGGGGATGGATTTGATTATATTTACAGGTAAGGAATGACGCGGCCTAAAGTGGGTGGTGCCATTCCTTATGCTTGGGTCCTGTATTGTATCAGTGTAGAGAAAACGAGCTGAGCAGAAGGCTTGGGTGCATTCATTCTCTCTCTGCTCTTGACTGGAATTGTGAGTTCTTGGTTGTGAACATAATTAACTGCCTCCAGTTCCTGCCTTGATTTCCTTGAGGGATGGGCTGAAACCTGGAGCTTTAGCAAACTCTTTCTTCCCTGAGCTGTTGTTTTGTTTTGGTTATGGATTTTATGCCAACAAGAGAAATGAAGCTAGGACAGGAGCCGAGGTGTAGGTCCTCTCACCCCCTCCTCTTGTACTCTCCCTCGTTCTCTGTTCTCCTTTCTACTTCATTCCTCCATTCCAGAAACACGCTTTCTGATACTGACTTTTCTTGTTCTCTACCCACAAAGGCTCGTCTTCCAATGTCAGTGTGACTGGGTATGCCTCATCCCCTAGAACTGTGATGGACAGCCGCCGCCAGTACCTTCTAGTATTCACATTCCTGTCAACTCCTCTGGCCTTGAGTGCAGATACTTAGGCCTTGCTTCTAATCAACAAATATGCAAACGCAGCAGAGTGTTATCCCCACAACAGTATGTTAATATCTAAGAACCCCCCTTAAACCAGTGCAAAAGAGGAGATTTTTCCCCAATCCAGCTTCCAGAAGAAAATGCAGCCCTGAAAACTTGCTTGCAGCCTTGCGAGACCCAAAGCAGAAAACTCAACGAAACCCATTTGCCTTCGGACCCACTCAAACTATAAGACAAATAAATGGATGTTTAATGGGGCTAAGGATGTATCTAGTTCAGTTGGTTGATTCATGCCTAGCACGCGCAAAATCCTGGGTTTGATCCCCTGGTACCTTGTAAACTGGGTGAGGTGGTTCATGCCTGCAATCTCAGTCCTTGGGAGTGAGAGGTGAAAGGACTAGAAGATCAAGGTTGTCCTTGACTACGTTAGGAGTTCAAGGCCAGCCTGGTCTACATTAGACCCTGTCTAATAAAATGGATGTTTTGAACTTCCAAATTTGTGGTTATTTGCTATACATCTATAGACTACTAAGCATGATCACTCACTACCTACGATTTTCTTTTTAGGATTTCATTTCTGACTGTCCTCTTCCTGAGTATTGTGATCACAGATGCTCCAATCATGTGCTCACTGCTTTGAAATCAGTTACACATTATAGCCCTCATAGATTTTAATTCACAGTCATTAGAACTCCATCTACTCATATTTATCTCTAAACCCCCAGTGATAAGTTGCTGCTTCCAAGCTGTGACCTCTGGTTCATTGTGTATTCATCTTCTACTGATCTACTGACCTTACATTACATCAGACTTCCTACTAATTCACTCTTCCGAGGCATTCGTCCCGGATTACATCGAGACCTATTGGAAATCCCTAGCCAGAGCCTCATCCCCAGGCACTCAGCTCCACATCTCCAGTTTCCTCTGAGGACTTGTATCTTTACTGCTTCCTGGAGTCTCCAGCCGAGACCCATTAAAAGAAAGAACATGTCCACAAAGGAACTGATCTGACCATTTGGGAAGAGGGTGAGTGGGAGGGGAACTTAGCGAGGGGCCAATAATGCCAAGCAATGATATACTTGAAGGAAAATGTCATTAAACCTATCACTTTGTGTAAGAGTTGCATAATAATATTAATTTGACTGAAAAAGCAGAGCAAGTCATGGTGGACATATAACACACCAGCACTTAAGAGGGGAAGACAAGAGCATCAGGAGTTCAAGGCCACCCTTAACTATATAATGAGTTAAAGAACAGCATGGGCCAAGGCCAACCTTGTCATTGTTATTATTATAAATATAATCAATCACATCTATTTATTAATAATTATAACAATTATTTGAAAACTAAACAGATGAAGTTATAAATATAAATAGTTAAATATACAAAGTATAGACAATTATAAAAATATAATTATAGCTAATTATATTTATAATTATTATAGCATTATTATTTTAAAACTCAAGAAGCAAGGCTGGGAAAATGACTTAGTGGGTAAAGGACCTAGTATTAGAGACCTGAGTTCAGATACCCAGAGCCCATGTAAAACTGGATTGGTACGTCTGGTAGTACCGGTAGTCCCAGCCCTCCCTCAGGGAAGTGGGAGGTGGAGACAGAAGGACCTCTGAAAGCTCTCAGGCCAGCTAGCATGGAGTACACTGCAACAATGCAAAGTGGAGACTCTGCCTCAAACAAGGCGGGAGAAAGACCATCATCCAAGGCTGTCCTCTGATCTCCACATGTGTGGCATGGTACCCTTGCTCCCACATGTACACACATAGCACACACACACACAATGAGTTTGAGGGTTGGCTCGATGGGTAAAGTTGTTGGCTGTTAAATGCAACGACTTGAGTTTTATCCCCAGACTCACACAGTGAAAGGAGACAAGCAAGTGTCACAACTTGTCCCCTGACCTCCTCACACAGGCTGGGGCACACATGCACACATAATAAATAAAAAGGTGTAATTTCAAAACGTATGAGGAGAAGGCCTGAGACTGCTCGGCTCACCTGTGACCACCAGCTGTAGGTACTGACTCCGTGCTGACCACCTGCGGGATGCTGCTGTCCTGTAAGCACAGAAATAGCCCCCAGCATCTTCAGGCTGCACGTGAGTGAGGTGGAACTCAGCCTCCTTTGCCGCTGATGTTAGCTCCTGCTGATACCCAGAGTTGTGCAACTTTCCCAGAGTAACTGTAACGTTCTGGAAATGAGTCCAGCATCGGAGAGTGACGTTACTCCTGCACCTGACCACAGAGCTGGGCCAGGCACTGATGGAAGGCCTGGGAAGTTCCTCTGGAAAGAATTCAGAGTTAATTGACTCTCCATCATGGTAAACCTCTCTTAGAATTCTAAGGATTAAAGGTGTGACGGTTAATGTCAGTTATAACTTGATGAAGTCTTTAATCACCCGGGAGACAGGTGTTTTGCCCATGCTTGTGAGAGGCTGTTTTGATTTGTCTGACATGGAAAGACCCATCCGCTATGGGTGGCACCATTTCTTAAGATGGTGGTCCTGCATTGTATAAAATGGAGAGGGCCAACAGGAGGGCTCAGCTGCTAAAAGTGCTCACTGCCAAGCCTGAGAACCCCAGTTTAGTTCCTGAGACCCACACTGGTAAAGGAGAAAACTGACCTCCATATACATTCTGTGACATGTTCACGTCCCACAAACCCATATACATAAGTAAATGCAAGAATTTTTTTAAAAGGAGAAAGTGAATTGAGCATAAGGGTTCACTGCTCTCTTGTTCTTAATTTCTTAAGGCTGGAGAGACGGCCTGTGACTAAGCATCCCAGGGGACCCATGTAAGGTGTCTCTCAACCAGCTGTGACTCTAGCTAGCTCCAGAGCATCTGACACCCTTGACTTCCGAAGGCACGGAATTCATGTACACAAACACACATGATTAAAATATTTTGCTTCCTAAGTTTAGGACTGGAGAGACGTGTCATGTTTAAGAGCACTGGCTGTTCTTGCAGAGGACCCAGGCTTGATTTCAGAGCGGACACAACAGTTCAGTTGCCTCTAACTCCAGTTCCCGGGGATCCAGTGACCTCTTCTGGCTTCCTTGGGTACTGCACACAATGGTACATTCGCACAAATGCGTGAAAACTCGCATATACATAAAATATTCTTTAAAGTTTTAAAATAAAATTTTATTTTGTGTGTGTGTGTGTGTGTGTGTGTGAAGTGTGTATGTGGATGTCAGAGGACAACTTCTGGGAGTTGATTTTCTTCCTCTACGATGTGGGCTTCCACGTTGTCAATCTTGGCAGCACCTGCCTTTATTTACTGAGCCGTCTTATCCCGCCCACTCTTTTCTTCTCGAATATGGATGCAATAACCAGTTGCCTCAAGCTCCAGTTGCTGTGACCTCCCCACCAATAGGGTCTGCAACCTCAAACAGTAAGACAAACAGGTCATTTCTCCCTTAAGTTGCTTTATCAGGATTTATCACAGCAACAGGAAAAGTAGCTCCTGTAGGGCAAAAAGCCCAAGCTCACTTTGGGGTTTCAGAAACCCACCAATCTCTGAGCTCAAAAACCAGCCAATCCTTGATCTCGGAAACCACCATTTCCTGAACTTGGGAACCAACCAACCCTGAGTTTGGAAAACTGCCATTTCCTGATCTCGCCCTAAGCTCAGGACTTGAAACCCCTTGGATCCCCACCCTGAAAAATGCTACCCCCTCTAAGAAAGCCTACATAGAATGCCTGCCTGCTGATTAATTCTTCGCCGCTTCTCATCCTGGCAGAGGCGATCACTCTCGTGTGTCTGTCCCAGTAAATCTCTTGTGTGGGGTTTGTTGTGGGGGGTGACTTTGGGGTATTCCCTGACTCCTGACTGCTGAGATACTTTTCTCTTCAGAGGTGCAGCACTGACATTGAGGAAACCATTCTCCTCAGATCTGGAACACCTGCAGCTACTACACAGGGAGAGGGTCACGGAGAGTGGAGCAGGGAACACAGAACGTGTGGAAACTCACCATTCTCTTCCTCATCTCCTTAGCACAGGCACAGCCCTGGAAGAAGAGAAACCTGGGTGAGAGAGAAACTGTGTCCTCCGACTTGAAACACTACCTCTCGACTGAGGGAGAGTATGTAAAAAAGTGGGAGTAGATGAAATACACAATGCTCAGGGAGTGAATGAAACCTGCACCGCTCATGAAGCTTTCCCAGCTCAGGATATTCACAAGGCCCCCTTCCAGGTTATAAAGGCAGTCACCATTGCTGGGGAGAAAAGGCTCTCCAGTGTGCACAAGCTGTGGGCAGTTCCAGGGGTGCTGCTTTTATCAGTTGTGACTTATCCTGGGTCGTGCTTTTTTCCTGACGTGGCTGACTGTGTAAGCCCAGCTCCTATAGTAATCCCTTATACTCCTCGCACAACTCACTGGTTTACCAAGATAGACTTGGGTAGAATCAAGGTAGGCAAGTGTAGGGCTAACTGAGTAACCTAGGATGCCACTTGGCTAGAGCAATATACACACTATCTTCCTTAGAATGCACATATCAACCTGGGACCCCCGCTTCATGCATATACCAGGTCCAAACAATGCATTATGTCATTCCTCCCTAAGAACTGTTGGGGGGGGGTGACACCTTTTTTTGTGACCAAAAACATTCTGAAACTAAATGAAATGGTTCAATACAGGCTGAAGAAGTTTGGGGTGCTAAGTGGTAAGTCAAAATATATCCTTTGAACAAACATTTAGGGGAAATCGCTCTTTACTGTATTATATTTATGCGTGATTATCATCAGATGCATCTTAGGTAAAGATATGTGCAACAAACAAAGGCTTACACATCTAAGCCTATCAATCAAGTTCAAAAGGCTCCTGCATCCTGCCTCTATCAACCAGTCCCTCTTCCTAGACTCACAAAAGGAAGCCCCAGACAGTGACCAAGGGCTCTTGAGCCCTCTAGGCCGGATAGACTGCTATGATTTTGTAGTCTATCTGACCTGTGGTTTTTCTTTGATTCTGAATAAAACTCCTTGTTATTTTACCATTTGTGTATGTTTTCAGTTATTTGAACAAACACATACACACACACACACACAAACTTGAAGACACCTGGTCAAGTCTGAGACCATGAGACAAGCAGTACCAGAATCATTTCTTTGGTCTGTCATCAGTGTCCTGTCTGCGTTCTAATCTGTTCTACTTTCATTCTGTTGCCGTGATAAAAACACTGATCCAAAGCAACCTGGGGAGGAAGGGGTTTATTTAGTTTCCACATCAAGGCAACAACCAATTTTTGAGGAAAATCATGGCAGGAACTGGGAGGCAGGAACCATGGAGGGACTGCTTGTTGGTTCACTCACCTGTCTCATATATAGCTGATGCTTTTATACAGCCCAGGCCCACCTGTCTAGCGATGGTGCCACCAACAGTGGGCTATGTAGGTTGAGTGTTTTTAGGGAATGCTGGCTCCAAAATAAATGCACAGAGACTTAATAATTACAAATCCTTGACCAATAGCTCAGGTTTGTTACTAGCTAACTCTTACAACTTAAATTAACCCACTTCTACTAATCTACATTCTGCCACGTGTCATTACCTCTCTTTCACCTTGGACTCTCTTTCTCCTGTTTCCTCTCTGTGTCTGGCTGGCAACTCTTCTGACTTTGTCCTTCTTCTTCCCAGTGTCCTTAGTCTGGTTTTCCCACCTAATGGTATCCTGTCCAACTACTGGTCAGTCAGCTTCTTTATTAATCCAATTATGGCAACATGTATTCAGACAGTTTAAAGTAATATTCCACAGGGATATTTATGCAGGAGGCTGGGCAAGAAATTAAGACAATCCCCCATAGACAAGTCCAGTTTGATCTAGGCAATTCCTTATTGGAGGCTTTCCTCTCAGATGATCCTATGCCGTGTCTAGGGTGTGTCAAATTGACAATTAGAGCTAACTAGGAGAGAGCTTGAGGGTGGGAGAGAGGCTGGCGGGTCTCTTAGTTTGAGACCAGCCTGGTCTACAGAGGGAGTTCTTGGGATAGCCAGGGCCACTCAGAGAAACCCTGTTTGGGGGCTGGGGAGAGGGGATTTCAGCATGAAGTGGTGGGGGCTCTGAGGTTCCACCCTTAGCTAATTGCTGTTGAGGGAAGGAGAGCCACATTGCTTTAGAGGTGTAACCACAGGTTGGTCGCCCGTGTCCCATTGGATGACCTCATACCTTTGGGCATATGGTCAACACTTATTGAAATCAATGAGTTAAGGAAGGATGGGAGGGAGGAAAGAAAGAGGGAAGAACAAAAGGAAGGAAGGAAAGAAGTAATGAAAAAGAAAGAAAGAAGGAAGGAAAGAAGGAAGGAAGATTTGGGAGGGAGATGTTCTGGGAAATCCTGGAGGGAATTAAAGGGGAAAGTGGGGGGTAAGTGATTACAATGTATAGTATAGATGTATAAATTTTTCAAATAATAAATATTTATATAAAATATATGTGGGGTGGAGAGATACACGTGTTAAGACCACTGACTGTCCTTCCAGAGGACCAGGTTTCTATTCCCAGCACCCGCATGGTGGCTTCTGTCTTTAACTCCAGTTCATCTGCTCCAACAAGGCCACTTCTCTTAATCCTTCCCACATACTCTCACCAACTAGAGACCAAGTATTCCTATGTATGAGCCTGTGTGGTTATTCTCCTTCAAGCCACCACAGTGAACAAGCTTTCAAAGCTGTAGAACCATAGCTGCCCAGGGCCCTGCTTTCAGACCCTCAACCCATGCAGGACCATGCCAACAGAGCAAAGGAAAAATGGCCTGGCAGCATCAAGCTTGGCCCAGATGGCTCCAGGGGCCAGACCCACAGTGATGTTCCTCCTGCTGCCGCTGTTCGTCAGCTGTGGCTTTCTCCTACTTGTGGAGGGCTCTTGATACTGAAGCCCATGTAAACATTTGTATTCACTTTGTTTTTTACAGCGAGTTACTACTGTGTGTATGTGCTATGTGTGTGCTCTTGTGAGAGCTCGTGAGTGCATATGTACCACGGCATGTGTGTGTACCACATATGTGTGTGGAGATCAGCTTGAAGGATTTGATTCTCCTCCACTGCGGCACGGACATCCAATGATTAAACTCTAGTCAGTGAAGGGCTCTAATGGCCCAAACATGGCAAACATGGTACTAAGAGGTCCCCTGCTCTTCCCCCTTCTTTAGTGTCCCTTATTTGGCCATTTCCTTATCCCCAAAACTAACTGTCAAAGCTACCACTAGAATCCCTAGCTAGAATTCTACTTTTTTTTTTCTCCTTAAAACCCACTCCTGCTGAGCCGCTTGCTGCTGTTTCTGTCTGATTAAGATTCAGCCACCCTGTTTCTGTGTCTTGCTTAATATTAGATTTCTTTGTGTTAGAAATTGGTGTTTGGGTGTGGTCTGTGCCTAATGGGGGTTCAGAAGGGAGCACTCTATGGTGGTGCATGCCTTTTATCCCAGTACTCAGGAGGTAGAGGCAGATGGACCTCTGTAGGTTCCTGGCCAGCTCTGGTTACCTAGTGAAACCCTGTGTGGTAGTTTGAATGAAAATGGCCCCTAGAGGTTCAATGGGAGTGGAATTATTTGAAAGAATTAGGACATTTGGCTTTGTTGGAGTAAGTGGGTCTTGTTGAAAGAAGTTTTTCCGTGGATATAGGCATTGAGGTTTCAAATGCTCAAGCCAGGCCCAGTTCCGCCCCCTCCCCCGCCTCCTCTCTCTTTCTGCTGCCTGCCACTTCAGACATAGAACTCTCAGTTACCTCCACAGCATGATGGTTTGCTGCCATGCTGCCTGCCATGAGGATAATGAACTAAATCTCTGAGCCTGTAAGCCAGCCCCAACTAAATGTTTTCCTTTATAAGAGTTGCCATGGTCACAGTGTCTCTTCACAGCAATATAAACCCTGACTAAGCCCCCCCCCCGTCTTTAAATACATTTAAAAAATGTCAAAGAATAGCAACAATGAATGGAGCCCCCAAGCACATTGCCAACTGCTACCAGAAGCTACAAAGAGAGGCCTGGAATAAGATCTCCCTTCTCCCCTTCCAAAGGAACCAGTGTTGTCTACACCTTGATTTCCATAACTCACGTAATCAAGAAATTTATTTTCCATTGTTCTCTACCAACAGTTGGTGGCACTTAGGTACAGCTGCCCCAATAAAGCAACTCGGGCTGTATCAGGACATTTCCCAGAGGATCTGGTCAACCTGGTCTGTGGCTGGAGACTCTCTCTAAAGAGCATACACAGAAAGAAGCACTGACCGGGAGGGAAGACTGTGAGCAGTAAAATAGGAAGGAATGGGGCAGATGTGGCCTTCTGATTGCCGTGCCCACACATCTCGACCCTGCTCTTGCACCAGGGAGGAACAAAGGGCCTCTTAAATGGGAGCTGCTGTATGATGCAACCAAGCCAGCAGCCCCATCTTCCTCTTCATGTACCGAGATATCTACCTGTGGGTAGTTCAAACCTATGTTGTTAAAATCAGCCCCAGGATGGGGATGGTTGGAAAAATCTGCATCTTACCCACAGCTCTGCATTTGGTAGTTCCTGCACCTCAACCCCTTTCTAATCTGGTGGCAGGACCAGGCAACGTTCTGGGTGCCCGAAAGGAGGTGCAGAGACCCTTATGGAGCTTGAACTTCTTGCAGTAATCAGTGTCTTTAGGTGTGGCACTGACACAGATGTCCTTGAGACCCCCTCCCCCCATACCAAGTCTCTCACACCCACACATAGACACCCTCATTTCTGCATTTCCGTAGTCACCACCTTGACCCTGCTGTGAGCTTTTCTCATCCAAGCAAGCGCTTGTCACAGCCCTGGAGACTCACCCAGGCAAAGCAGGTATATGAAATCTATGTCCATAGCTCCCCTTCTCCCTAAGCCAAGGTCCGGTCTTCAGTTCTCAGGAAGGACTGGCAGGGCAGGAGGAGACCACAGTTCTCTCCTGGCCCCACTTTGTCCCTGGAACCTGCGGGCTGAAGCTTTGCCCTGACGCTGGGGTTGCTTTCATAGCTGTTTGCACAGTTTCCTTCCTGAACAGACGCAGGAAGCAAGAAGCCTTGGACGATGACATCTCTGTCAGCCTGGGTGCCATGCAGCTCTGCCCACCCTGGGACCTGCCCTTCTCAACTGAAATCTTACCTAAGATGCTTTCCATTTTAATTTGCTCATTTTTGACAATTTAATGCTTGCATATAGTGTCCTCTGTTCATATTCATCCCCTTCCTACTCCTGCCAGCCCCCTCCTTTCAAACTAGGCCCCTCCTATCTTTATACCCTTCCCACCATCCTGGCCGTCTGCCCCCCCCCTTTTTTTAGTTTTACACTTTGGTTATCATTCTTCTCTGGTTATTTAGTCTATTTATTCTGTAACTATAATATCTTTAGGCAAATTATTTTATGTCCTTCTGAAGTTATTCTTTCTTTGAAAATTTCATGAATGAATACAGTGTATCTCGCCTATACCTTCTCAAGTCTCCCCAGCACCTCCATCAATCTCCCTCTTAATCTCATGTCTTCCTTTCAAAATCATTTGTTTTCAGGGCTGGGCAGATGGATCAGCGGCTAAGAGAACATGCCTGTCTTCCAGAGCACCTGAGTTTGAGTCCCAGCACCCATGTCAGGTGGCTCACAACCGCCTGTACCTCCAGCTGCAGGGAGAACAGACACATCTGCCCTCGAGCGCCTGCTCACACACAGACACACATACACACATACATACATACATACATACATAAAATTAAAAAGTATAAATAAAATATTAAAATATTATTTATTTTACGTTTACATACAAAATCATGCATTTCATAGACATTTTCATACATATATCATTTATTTATTTATTTAACATATATGAGTGCTCTATGCTTTTAGACCAGAAGAGGGCATCAGATCCCACTATAGATGGTTGTGAGCCACAGTGTAGTTCCAGGGAATTGAACTCAGAACCTCTAGAAGAGCAGCCAGTGCTCTTAACTGCTGAGCCATCTCTCTGACCCCACAGCTTTTGTTCTTCTTCATCCCTCTCCTCTGTCTCAGCCCTCTCCCATCTTCTCCAGTCCTCTACCCTAGCCAATAGTCCTCCCTTTGCTTTCATAGAAACAACCCAGTCACATTAAGTAAAACATGCCAGGCCCACCAAGCCAGTGCCACATTCATTCTTTCATGCATAGGATCAAGGAAGAAAAACGTCAAGAATGAGGGACAGTTAGTGATGTCATATTCCTTACCTTCCTTATTGCTGTGAGAAAATACCTGACAGAAACAACTCAAGGGAAACATTGTTTGTGTTCACAGTTTCAGTCCATCATGGCCTGGTGGAGGTTGTGTAGGGGGAGCATTTGTTGGAAGCTTTTCTCATCGCTCAGGGAGCTTGGGGTGGAACAAGAAGCAGGCTGTCGTAAATTTCATTTCCCTTAAGACTATGATAAAACATCCCAACAAAGACCAGGCCTGGTGGTGCATACCTTTATCCCCAGCACGCCCTAGGTGGAAGCAGGTGGATCTACAGTTTAAGGTGAATTTAGTCTACATAGTAAGTTCCAGCACAGCCAGGGCTACATGGTGAGACCCAATTTCAAAACAGAAATGAAACAACCCAAATGCAATTTGATAGGCTTTATTTTAGTCAAAATTCCAGGTTAAAGTCCAGCATTAAAGGGACATTAAGGAACAGAAACTTGAAGCCGCTGGTCATATTGCTTCCATGGTCAAGAGCAGTAAGTAATGAATTAATGCATATATGTTAATACCCAGCTCTTTGGCTCTTGGAAAATTGAGTGACCCACACTGATGAATATCTCGAATATCACCATAGAATCTTCATCTGGAGATGGATGGAGATAGAGACCCACATCAAAGCACTGGACTGAGCCCCCAAGGTCCAGTTGAAGAGCAGAAGGAGGGAGAAGATGAGCAAGGAAGTCAGGATCGCGAGGGGTTGGTCCACCCACTGAAACAGTGTGCCTGCTCTAATGGGAGCTCACCAAATCCAGCTGGACTGGGACTGAATGAACATGTGACAAAACCGGACTCTCTGAATGTGGCTGACAATAGGGGCTGACTGAGAAGTCATTGATAATGGCACTGGGACTTGTTTCTAGTGTATGTACTGGCTTTTTGGGACACTAGTCTATTTGGATGCACACCTTCCTAAGCCTTGATGGAGGGGGGGGAGGGCCTTGGACTTCTCACAGGGCAGGGTAACCTGCCCTCTCTTAAGACTGGAGGGGGAGGGAGGAGAGTGAGTGGGGAAGTGAGAGGGGAATGGGAAGAGTGGAGGAAGTGGAAATTTTTGAATGGAAAAATAAAAATAAAAATGGGTGACCCAAGAAGTGGTGCCGTCCAAAGTCAGAGCAGGTCTTCCCACCATAATTAAACCCAATTAAGAAAATCCCCACAGACACGACCACAGGCCAATTAATGTAGACAGTTCCTCATTAAGATGTTCTAGGTGATTTAGATTGTGTCAGGTTGACAATCAAAACCAACCATCACACAGCTATAAATCTCAAGGTCTACCATCTGTGACCCACTTGCACAGCCATGTTGTCTGGGCACATGAGCCCTTGGGGTTATGTTTCACATTCAAACCATTAAAGATGTGGAAGGGGAATGGAGGAAGGCAGATTGGGGATGAGAAAGAGTAACAGAGGGGTTAATATGACCAAAGTTCATCACCTGCCTGAACCGAACAGTCATAACAACACTTTACTACAAACTAGTACTTGCCATTGATAATTTTAAAAAGAACAAAGTATTCACTAAGAATAAATTTGGGGACTAGGGCAGTGGCTCAACAATTAGGAGCACTTACTACTGCTAGAAAGGACCTTGTTCCATTTTCCAGCACTCTCGTGCTGGCTTACAACCATCAAAACACAGGAAAATTAATAAATCTTTAAAAAAGAATATAAACATATATGTAAGAAACCTATAATAAATATGATGTATATCAAGGTAAATATATAACATATATTTTAGATAACCAACAGTGCCACAGAAGACACTTAACATGTATGTTCTTGTTGTTTTGTTTTTGAGACAGGGTTTCTATGTATAGCTCCGGATGTTCTAGAATCACTCTGTAGATCAGGTTGACCTCGAACTCAGAGATCTGCCTGTCTCTGCTTCCAAGTGCTGAGATTAAAGGCATGGCAACCTGTATGTTCTTAAGAAAATGCAAACTGAGGCTGTGTATGGTGACAAATCCCATTTAATCTCAGCATTGGGAAGAAGAATTAGATGGGTGTCTGTGAGTTCAAGGCCAGCCTGGTCTAGGACAGTTATGGCTACACAGTAGAAACATCATGTCTCAGAAACACCAAAAGGGAAAAAAAAGTGTTAGAAAGAAAGAAAGAAAGAAAGAAAGAAAGAAAGAAAGAAAGAAAATACACACACACACACACACGTGTGTGTGTTTATTTCTATATAAATACTAATGTGTCAGGTAAGCATCTGTATGCTGTGGAATATTCCTTTACACTGTGTGAAAATGTGTCACTGTGATTGGTTTAATAAAGAGCTGAATGGCCAACAGCTAGGCGGGAAGAGGTTAGGCAGGACTTCTGGGAACAGAGAGGTCTTAGGGAAAGAGTAAGGCAGGTCTCCAGTCAGATGTGAAGGAAGCAGGATGGGTAGTACAGAGTAAAGGTAACCGAGCCAAGTAAAAGAACATAGATTAAAAAATATTGGTTAATTTAAGAACTAGCTAAGAACAAGCCTAAGCTAAGGGCCAAGCTTTCATAATTAATAAGTCTCTGTGTGGTACTTGGGGGCTGGCAGGTGAAACAGAGAAAGACTCATTACATCTGTAATCAAGCATGGCCTCTATTCTATGTGAAGAGTCAGAATGAGGCAGCCGTCTTCCTGTCCTGGGGTGATTCCCACAAAAGTTGTCATCACGGTTGCACAGAAATTCACAGAGATAATTTTGTCCAATTTCACCAAGGATTCATTATTCCCCTGGGGCATTGTGGGACCTGTGGGTAAAGAAAGTCAAAGGTTAATTGAAAGGAAGACAACTGCTATATTTGGGAGATTTTCACCCACACCCATTTCCCACCCTTCCCATCTGGACGTGTTCAAATGTCCTTCCTAAATGCTTCATTTGCAAGGAGGGTGTTGAAACAGAGTCTCATGGTCAAGCTGTCCTCAAACTTGCTATGTAGCCAAGGATGACTTTGAACTCTTGACTCCCAAATGCTGGTATTACAAGTGTACACCATAAATTATAAACTGTTTATGCAGAGCTGAGTACCAAGTACTGGACTTCCTGACTGACATCTCTAACTCCAGCTCCAGGGAATCCATGGCCCTCTTCTCACTTCCTTGGGCACTTCATGCAAATGATGCACAGATAAAAATGCAGACAAACTCCCATAAACATAAAATAACTTCTAAAGAATAAACGATGTGCAAGCACTCCATCCACTGAGCTACACCCCCGGACCACTTTTTTCATTGTTTGATATTTATCACTTTATTTTATGTGTATGAGTTTTTGCCTGCATGTATACTATGTGTGCCAAGTGCTTTCAGAGTCAGAAGAGAACACTGGATACTCTGGAACAAAACTCTGTCCTCTGTAAGAGCAACAAGTGCTCTTAACATCTGAGTCATCTCTGTAGCCCCTTTTTATTATCTGTACCCTGTGGTGCAAGGAATTTTCCTGTGTGCCTGTGTGGAGAAGCCTGAGACACCACTGTGGGGGACCTGGTTTTTAGATTAATCTATATTGATTTAGGATATGGTGTAGTAACTATAAGGAATATGGTTGAATTGGACAATTAAAAAGTTGCCCAAATGTAGGTCTGAATTTGCTGGGCAGATTTGCTAGCTGTTTTGTGGAGGCCATTTCATGACTGGTGAAACTTCTTATTCAGTACATAACTGATTACTTACTTTTTTTCCTAGGGTGACTGGAGTTTAACTGACACATGAAAATTAAATATTTTGGGGCTGGAAGGATGGCTCAGTGGTTAAAAGTACTGGGTGCTTTTGCTTGATCTTGGTTCAATTTCCAGCATGGTTACTCACAACCATTTGTGCTTGGAACTTCAGTTCCAAGGATTTTAATACCCTCTTCTGGCCTCTTCAGGCATCAGACATTCATTTGGTACATATATACATCTGTTACACAGACATACATTTAGACAAAACACACATACACTTTTTATAATTAAATATGCCAATATATTGCTTTGTACATGGTAAATACAATTCAACTTGTATCTGTCAATTATACCTCTATCAACCCGGGATGAAGAAAACCCTCATAATAACACAAGAGACCAATAAAAAAAAAGGAATGTTCAATTATTTTACCAGGGTCTATTTGGAGACAGCCTCTGGCTGTGCCAGGCTTCAACCAGGAAGCCTCCCATTATTAGCACAATTACAGCTGCCAGTGTAAGTCGAATGAGGTTACCCATGACATAGCCTTCTGTCAAGGAGTCTGGGGGTGTGTAGCCTTCTGTCATGGTATCTGGTGACTCTGAAAGGGAGAAGATGATCATGACTGGCCACAGAGGGCACCCTGCCTTCACAGACAGATTGAACGAATCAGACTCCCAAATGTCCACTTGCATAAAGAACTCTGTTCTCTAAAGACTTAACTCTAAATGGGTTTTAAAAATTAACTTGAAATGGGTATTCCTTTACTTTCTTTTCCTTGTGTTTACTCTGCCTTAGCTTAATGTGGGGATGCTCCTCCTCTGTATGCTGTGAATATGTTTTATTGCCACCAGTTAATAAAGAAGCTGCTTTGGCTTGTGGCAGAGCAGAATATAGCTAGACAGGAAATCTAAACAGATAGTTGGAGAAAGAAGGCGGACTCAGAAGAGATGTTAGCAGCTGGTGGGGAAGCAAGATGTGAGGTAATAAGCTACGAGTCTCATGATAAAACATAGAATAATGAAAAGGTGCTAATTTAAGTTGTAAGAGATAGTTAATAATAAGCCTGAGCTAATAGGCCAAACAATTATGATTAATATTAAGCCTCAAAGTGGTTCTTAGGGAAATGGTGGGCAGTACAGCAACCTCCAGTTACATTAACTCTTTTCCTTTTTTGGCTTTATCTTATTTCTACCTCTGCTCTCTTCCATTTCTCTATTTTCCTTAATGTATTAGGGATTAATTGTTGATACTATGCATAGATCAAAGGAGAGACTCATAGATCTACAGAACACAGAAATCAGTGGCAGGCCAGCAAGCCTCCTTGGACCACAAAATGCCATATAGGCAGTGAGTTTCAGAAAATTTGAACCTAGCGGAGGAAAGGCTGTTTCACTGTCTATCTCCCCCTTCATTTAAGACGAGCTATTGAATGGTAAGGAGTGAGGGAAATGGCTAAGTGGGTAAAGTGCCTGAACCCCAGAACCCACATAAAGCTGGATACAGTAGTGCATATCAAAAACCCATATACTGTAGTGAGATAGCAGGAGAACCTACAGAAGTTTGAGGGCCAGCTAGCCTGGTATCTGCAGCAGTGAACTTGCAAGTAACCCTGTCTCGCACAGGGAAAAAGGCAAAGAGACTGATAGGGGCCAATGCTGTCTTGTGACATCCACACATGTATCTTGACACACACACATACAGAGAGAGAGAGAGAGAGAGAGAGAGAGAGAGAGAGAGAGAGAGCGCAAAAGCAGAAGTAGGAGAGGAGGATAAAGAGAACGAGGAAGAGGAGCTGATGTGATGCTGGGCATTGATTTGTTTTTAAAGATACCACACAAGAATGAGTTCATCCCAAAGAGTGCAGCTTCATAATTAAACACACCAGTAGCAAGCTCACCTGCAGGCAAGACCCACAGGGAAAGGCAGGCAACTTCACCACCACATAAGCGTCATTCTTCACCTATCATTACCGACTACACAGACCTTCACACCTAGCGGTGATCACTCTCTGTTGGAGATTGCAAAGGCAAAAGGAGGATTTACAAACAAGGTGTGTAGCATTTAAGGGAGCAACACCATGACAGAAGACTTTGGATAGTGTTGAAAACTTCAAACAGTAATGGAACTACATCAGGGAGAAAACCCACTTATAAATGTTTGACTATATCTACAGGAATAAGTGTAGGAGGTCAAATTTCTCCACAGTGAAATGTCAACTCACTGAAGAAACTGAAGAAGCTGCTAGAACTTGGAATGACCTCCTATGCTCATGTATTTTCAGAATTAATATTGTAGAAGGACTGTATTACCAAAAGCAATCCACAGATGTAATCTTTATCAAAATCTCAACAATATTCTTTACAGTACTAGAAGGAGCAATGCTGAAATACATATGGAAGCACATAAGACATCAAATAGCAAAAATATTTTTTAGCAGAAAAGCCATGTTGAGAGCATCATGATACCCTATCTCTCTATCTATCTATCTATCTATCTATCTATCTATCTATCTATCTATCATCTATCTATCTATCTGAGTGATAGGAACAACAGCAAACCCACAAAAGCAGAATGGCACTAGTGTAAAACCAGACATGTAGACCAGTCAAATAGAATGGATGACCAGGAATCAGCTCATGTAGTGTGATTCACCTAATTCTGACGATGTAGTAAAAAAAACACACACTGAAGCCAGGCATGGTGGTGCACACTTTTAGTTCCAGCGCTCTGGGACTAGGCAGATCTCCATGGGTTTCATGGCAGCCTGGGCTACAAAGTGAGCAAGTCCTTGTCTCAAAAACAATAAAAACAAACTGCAGAATATATCCTCTTTAACAAATAATGTGAGGATACTGATGTCTAATTGTTGAAGAATGAAAGTAGATGCAGATCTCTCACCCTGCACAGAAGTCAATTCTAAATAGACCAAAGACCTTAGACCCGAACCTTCGACAGCGCTAGAGGGAAAGCACTGGAGATGTAGACATAGGCAAGGACTTGGCGAAATAACACTTTGATAACACGGGAAACAATCCAGAGAGCTAAGAAAGGGGCTGCGTGAAATTAAAAGGCTTCTGTATGACAAAGGAAACACTCTACAGTGGGGGCAGACCGAGAAGCCATCAATAATAGCACTGGGACCTGTTTCTACTGCATGTGCTGGCTTTTTGGGACCCTAGTCTATTTGGATGCACACCTTCCTAGGCATGGATGGAGGGGGTGGGCCTTGGACTTCCCACAGGGCAG